TATATATATATATATATATATATATATATATATATATATATATATATATATATATACACACACACATATACATACAAACACACACATAACACATTAAATATATATATATATATATATATATATATATCATAATTAAGTAATTCATTGAGTCCAGAATAATCTTCTGATTCTTGCACTATTTCTGGTGTGATTCGGCTATGCGATCTATTCATCAGAATTTGGATGCTGAGTTTTGTTCCATGGCTCATTAGGTTGACAGTCCGACTGACTCAAGACAAAAACACGGAATAAATGGCATCCTTGAGTATAAGAGAACTTCTATGTAAATTCGTTTCAGTAAGTTGCACCGTATTATTCATAAGTATTTAATTTTTTCAAATATTAAAGAATAGAAATGAACCAGAAAACATTAAGTGTTTCTTCCTATTACCGATTCAAAACTTATTTTAGAATTTTCGCTTGAAAGTTGCTAATAAGACATACTCCGTAATCCATTTTAACGTGTTAACTTGTCTAGTATACGAGGGTCATTCAATAAATAAGATGAATTTTTCGGTATAAGGACTTCTAATACAGATAGAAGGTTACTTTTTTTAATTTTTTAATTTTTTTTTGTTTTACTTCTTTTTCACATGGATTTAATTTCTTTTGCAGATTAAAAAAAAAAAAAAATTGAAAGTTTTGGCGATAAACAAAGATGGCCGACCAAGAAGCACGCTCCAGGATTGAACAGCGGTCAGTTATCAAGTTTTTGGTTGCTGAAGGCTGCAAACCAGTTGAAATTCAAAGGAAAATGTCAACTGTGTATGGTGCCACATGTTTCAGCCAAAAAAATGTCTACAAGTGGGCTAAATTGTTTAAAGAAGGACGGAGTAGTGTTGAGGATGAAGACAGGCCTGGGAGACCTACAGAAGTGAGGTCTCCTGATGTGATCGAATCAGTCAATGACCTCATTCAGTCCGACAGAATAACTACAGTGAACTGCTGAGGCAGGTCAAGAAAGACATAAAGAAAAAACGCAGAGGTCATCAGTCAAAAGGGCGTCATCTTGCATCATGAAAACGCAAATAAAACACAGCAGCCCAAACGGTGCAGACCATCAATGAGCTTGGCTGGGAATTGCTCCTCATCCCCTTACAGCCCAGACCTTGCCCCCTTCAGACTTTCAATTGTTTGGTCCCTTGAAAGCGTTCACAAGAGGCACGAAGTTTAAAAGTGACGATGAATCCAAAAGTGTTGTGAGCAATTGGCTGTGACATCAGTCCAAATATTTTTACGCTGAGGGAATACGGACGCTTCTTGCACAGATGGGAAAAGTGTGTGACAGTGCTGGGAGACTACGTTGAAAAAAAATATTTATTGCATTAGAAATCCTTATACCGAAAAATTCACCTTATTTATTGAATGACCCTCGGTTTGTACAGTTTGTATGACGTTTGCCTGTTAACGCACCTGCCCACGTTTCAATATATAGGGCGAAACGGTCGTCTAGTGCTTTTTACATTCTGTTGAGGTTTCTTCTAGACTGATGAATTAATTAAATTAATATATATATATATATATATATATATAAGGCACGTGGATGT